ATCTGGGCACAACAAAGAAAGTGCTGCCGGGTGGTGGTGGTGCACACCTTTAATCCCAGCACTCAGGAGGCAGAGGCAGGCATATCTCTGTGAGTTCGAGGCCAGCCTGGTCTACAAAGTGAGTTCCAGGAAAGGCACAAAGCTACACAGAGAAACCCTGTCTCAGAAAAAAAAAGGAAAAGAATGTTAAGTGCTGGTGTGTTTAGAAAGGACAACATTCAGTAAGCAACTTAGAAGGTTATCCAATCAATAAACAAGCAAATAACAATAGCAACTGTCAGAGGCCATGGCACCAGCACTCAAAGCTTCTATAATAAATGATCTCAGATGGCTAATTCTATATTTTTACAAGATATGTTGTATAACTTTTATATCAACTTGACACAAGCTAGTGTTATCTGGGAAGAAGGAATCTCAAATGAAAAAGTCTCTACAATATTTGCTTGTAGACAAGACTGTATTGCAATTTCTTGATTGATAATTGATGTGATAGGGCCCAGCTCTCTGTGGGCAGTGCCACTCCTGGTTTGTATAAGAAAGCAAGCTGAGCAAATGATGGATAGCAAGCCAGTAAGCAGCATTTCTCCTTGACCTTTGCTTCAGTTCCTGTAGTTCTGAGCTTTTGCACTGAATATTTTCCATGACTTCCATGGAGGATGAACTGTAATATAGAGCTGTAAGTCAAATATACCTTCTCCTTTACAAGTTCCTTTTGCTCATTGCTGTTCATGTAATGACAATTCATTTATGTCTCCACCTTACTCTGTTAAAATCACTTGTCAATTCTAGTGCACCCGAGTTAATAAAATCACATGCTTTGCCTATTGTCCCAGTTTAAATTCTGTTGCTGTGATAAAATAACCTGAGAAAAACAACTTATCAGAGAAAGGGTTCATTTTATCTCTCTATTCAAACTTACAATCTGTAACAGCAGGGGATTCAAGGTGGCAGGCATTTGAAACAGCTTGTCTTATCACAGTCAAATGCAGAAAGCAAGAATGAATGCATGTCTGCACACCTCAGCCTACTTTCTACAATCTTCTCATACCTTCCAGGACCCAAGTATGGGGTGGTGACCCCCATAGTGGGATGGATCTTCCCATATCAACTAATGTCATCAAGACAGTCTTCTCACAAACATGACCACAGGACAATCTGATCCTGAAAATCTCTCCATAAGACTCCTACATGTGATTCAAGATTGTGTTACATTTACAGTGAACACCCTCTGGTCTCACTTATAATGCACACAAAGCATCTGAGCATCTTCATTAATTAGTTTCTTTTTGTCTACATTCAAGGATAAAATAGATGACCACCAAAATTTTAGAAAGCTTGACAACAAGTAGAATTGTTTTTTTAGAATGGCAATCTACCTTTTATAAAAACTATATCTCACAGAGGAAAATCTATGTGTACAGATTTCTTCCAATCTCTCACTAGAAGTATCCTCATTTATCCAACTTTCATCCAGAGATCCAGCAGCAAACCTGGCCGTCACTTGATTATCACTGGGAGACCTCCTCATTTCATCCTTAAAATTGTTTTGCTGATGTATTTGATCACATCATCAGTGAACGGTGCTGTGGAATGGTCTGTATGTCAAATATGTGCTCTGATTGGTCAATAAATAAAACACTGATTGGCCAGTGACCAGGCAGGAAGTATAGGCTGGACTAATAGAGAGAAGAATTGAGAGAACAGGAAGTGGGGGGGAGACACTGCCAGACGCCGCCATGACAAGCAGCATGTGAAGACCCCAGTAAGCCACGAGCCACGTGGCAAGGTATAGATTTATAGAAATGGATTAATTTAGGATGTAAGAACAGTTAGCAAAAAGCCTGCTACGGCCATACAGTTTGTAGGCAATATAAGTCTCTGTGTTTACTTGGTTGGGTCTGAGCGGCTCTGGGACTGGCGAGTGACAGTCCTGACTGTGGTCAAGGCAGGAAAACTCTAGCTACAGAACAGAACTAAGATATTCTTATTTCCAGACACATAGCAAATTCACAGATGTGTTGCTTCTTTGTTGCCCAAATTTATATATTGTGTTGTGAGAAAAGTTGGTGACAAAGTGACATTGAGCAGAGATAGAAAAAAAAGAGAGAAAATGAACTATTAAAATATATTGGAAGAAGCAGAGGTGTAACTAAATTTAATTGATTTGACAACATATTCTGGTAGCTAAAATGGAAGCTGATAGATGCTGGTGATTCTGTCCTTGATCTTGTGACTAAAGGTGAGGGACAGAGGAGGTAAACCATGTTCACAGTGTAGACACACTGTAGTAGTGAGTAGGTATTGGCTCAGTCTGTGAGAAAGTGAGTGAGTTTGACCCAGTCTGTGAGAAAGATTCATGGCTGTGTGTCTGGAGTTGGTTACTTGAGTCTGACCTTGATAAGACTATTTACATTATTGAATGTCACAAGCACTACAAATCAGCACTTTCTCCTCTTTTCAGACACAAATTTTAAGAATTTCTCATCTTAAGAGTAGTCATGCTCATTTTAAACTCATCATTTCATGTGACTAAGTGAAGAAAGAAAAAGCAAAATGACTCAAACTCTGAATTTCACAGCATTTCTATCATGAACAGCAGGGATAAGAAAAAAGGTGACAGAGACTATATTGACTTTAGAAAGCATATTTTAAATTTTTTTTTGATGGAGGCTATCTGAAAATGCTTGGTCAAACAGGAAAAAGAGCAATTTTTATTCATAAAATTAGGATGTAGCAAATTAAAGAATATCAGTGAGGTTAGAAGTTTGGTTATAGTGGAATGCAGGAGAAAGAAAGTTACAGTGAGGGCCAACCTGTGTCAATGATTCCAGATCCCCAGATGTACTCAGAAAGGGACTCTTCACATTGTCAGGAGGAGATCAGAACAATTTCCACACCCGAGATGAAGACCATGTGATAAGAATAAGTGGTTGACAATCTAGGCTGGCTGAGGCATCTACAGGTCCATTTGATGCTGTGAAGCTCATGTGGGTAAAAGACACCCATGGGCCAGCCTGTTTCCTCACAGTATGGATTGGCTGAAGGCACCCTCACCTTGTACCCAATGAGGAGGTACTACCTTGATGAGAATATATTTGATGGAGAAATGGCAGAGAAAGAGATGCAGGACAATCAATGTGCTGTGAAAAGAGGCACATGAAGAATCAAAGGTGATGAGGAACAGGCTGGTGGGGGTTGCCTGCTTGCTACCTGGGACCAGGGTGACTCAGGGCCCAGACTGCTGCTGAGGACCATGTCTGGGTTCATGGTATTACCACAGCCAGGGTCTGTGTTGGTATGTGTGGCCCATTTGTCACCAAAGGCCACATTCATTTCTGGCTCGAGGCTACAACCTATGGCCATGTTGGTCTCTGGGTCCTGTGCTGCCATGGTGGCCATGCCTATCTGAGTGGCCCTTGCTGCCACACAGGGCCATGGTTGCCCAGGCCCAGGCTGCTGCCAAGAGCCATGTCTGGGTCTGTGGCTCTAGAGCAGCCAGGGTCTAAGTTGATGTCTGTGGTCCTACCACCACCTAAAGCCATGAGATGAGGCCATGTGGGTGTCTGAGGGTAATGCTGCTGCTGGGGCCATACTGATCTGGGGGCCTATGCTTAATATTTTACAGAGTTTTCTTTTGGAAGGGGATGCTGCAGGGGAAAGGGGAAGATATGGAGAGACTGGAAAGTGAGCGGGAATGAGGCATATGATGTAATGAAATTCCCATAGAATCAATCAAGATTTATGTTAAAAAAAAAAAAGAAGAGTTTGAATGTGAACAAGATGTTTAGGGCAAACAGACCTCAAAGATACAACTAGTTTCTTCTTTGTCTAGAAGCCCAAAATGGCCTTGGGCCAGAGATAACAAAATAGTTTGGAGGCTCAGATCCTAATCTCACTTGTAAATGCTTTCAGGGTTATCTTTTCAGGAAGATGTTAGAGTAGGTATAAGGGCCCATTAAAGAAAACTCATGGTTAAGAGAACAAAATCTGTAGATTGGGTGAAGACCTAACATTCTAGGTGGTCAGGTTCAATCACAAGGACAACGGACCCTCTTAAACCACACTAAAGAGACAGGAAGAAAAATTTTTTTCTACAGAGGTATGAGGGTGTAGCACACGTTCAATCCGAGGATTCGGGAGGCAGAGGCAAGCAGATCTTGATGAGTTTAAGGTCAACCTCATCTACTTAGCAATATACAGACTGTCAACGCTATAAAGTAGACCCTGTATCAAAAAACAAAACAATACAAAATTTCACCTTAATTCATATACTAAACATTTCCTTCCCAGAATTCTCCCTACACTGAGGCAGGTAAGGCTGAAATTACCTCACCACACCTTAAGCAAACAAAGAGCTGTGACATGCACAGTACTGTCCTGACCTAGAGGAGCCTGAAACTGGACCCCCAAGATGACAACTGCTGATGTAAAACCCAAGGACAAATCAAGAAAGGCCACAATAGCCATGGAGAGAAAGCCCACCAAACAGCACCCACATAAATACCTCAGCCCTTTGTTTAATAAATGAGACTGCTTACATACCTCCCAAAGTGTGTGCTGTTGATTCTGCGTCTGCTCATCCCCTGCCCTGGGATCAGAGACAGTGGGATCCCAGCTGCAAAGCCATCACCACTACCCAGTGCAGTGCCTACATGGTATGTTGAGGTTCAGATGGGTCTGTCTACCTCAGTGTGGCCAGATCAGACTAAACAACACTTGCTTTTTCTTTCTGTCTGTCTCTTTCTTTTGGATTTTAGATGCTGGCTGAATCTAAGTATACATTTTCTGATCATTTAGGCTTCCTTACTTTTTCTCTAAATGCCCACTTTTCACCATGTGGAAATTTTTTCACCATATGTCTGACCTCCTTGTCTTCTTAAACAGAATGAGTATGTTTTCCCTTTATTCCTTCATTCTCCTCCTCTGTGAAGTTGCTGAGTTGTATGCTTTCCTGAACTTGGAATTTTCCCTCAAAACTTGGCAGATTATTTCACTTGAGCTCATTCTTAAATTATTTTATTAATGATATTAAGAACCCCAAGAATAGAATCCGATAACAACAGCATCAGAACTGTGAGCTATCAATGCTTATAGGAGAACAATAGGGAATTCTAAGATGGAGTTGTCCTTGTAAGGGAGGCATTCAGAGCAATCTTCCACAGCTTCTCACCAACTTCTTGTAGTCTGAGCACCTATAAGAAAGGTGATGTCAGATACTCCTGGTCTGATATGGCAGAATGAAGAGAAGAGCTGTAGAGAATCACCTCTCATTCAATACTCCTTTCATCATGTACACATTGTACCTTAGTGCTTCATTGTCCCTGGTACTGCTCTCCTCCCGTCCTGAGTGGATGTGGTGCCCATTTCACAAAAGTGTCATCTCAGCCTAGTCCCTGTGTCAGTCTTTCTGAGTCTATTCTTTATGATCATGGAGAGACCAAAGCAGAAACAGCCTTTATTACAGGTTTTGGAACTTCTAAAAATTGGTCCATAATGTAGATTGCTGTTTCCTATGAACCCTTGCTCTCCACTTTCTGTGGTGACCTTTAACAGGGGCAGTGAGGCCAATACCCCACATCCTCCCAAGGGCCCAAGTGCTTCACTTCCTTTAGGCCTCTTTGGATGCCTTTGTTGATCCTCAACTGAAAGCTTCCTGAAAGACACACATACTTCCTGGGAGCTTGGGATGTCTCAAAGGCTTATAAGAGATTCCTGAGGATCCTCAGCAACATGTCATCACCACAGATGGAAAAACTGTTTCACAAATACCTTGGCCCTCCTACTGTCCCTGCCCCTTCTTTGTTAGTCCAAAGACTGATAACCCCCTGGTGGTTTGAATAAGAAATATTCTGTATATTCTAGAATATTTGAATGCATGGTTCCCAGTTGGTGGTACTGTTTGGAGAGGTTTAGACACTACAGCCTTTCCAGAGAAAGTATGTCACAGGAGGTGAGCTTTGATCTTAAAAAGCCTTGTGACACTTCAAGTTTATTCTCTCTGTTTCATGTTCTCCACAAGGATGTGAGCTCTTAGCTCCCTGATCTGTCTTCATGCCTCTCAGATTTGATGGACTCATATGACTCTGGAACAGTATGACCAAATAAACCCTTTCTTCTATAAATTGTTTTCATCATGTTGTGTTCTCATATCAACAGAATAGTAACTAATACACCCTCCATCCCTCCTAACTTACAGTCAGGCCTTCTGCTTCTTGTGCATGTAGATGGCAATGGCACCAATTACCAGTAGAAGTTTGGGTGCAAGGAGCACAGCTACAAGGACCTCAGCAGTGTCTGATGTCTTCAGTTCTGGAAATCAAGTGGTAGGAGGAACCATTAGAGAGCATACAAGGAGTTTATCCTCAGGGATCTTTACCTGGCCCATTTATGGAATCCCAAGTACATCAAATCTCTGAGGAGTTTGAATCTGTGCCCTATTCCAACTTCAATACTTCAAAGCAGATGATACAGCAAAAGATTTCAAGTTACCCACTGGCTCTGAGATAGGTCAAGAAGGTTCCCTTCTAGAGAGGTTGGATAAGATTTTATGCTCAATGCCACATAGCACCTGGTTTTATAAACAAAAATTCTTACAAAGAATATGAACCTTCAAACTGAACCTTTTGTAATTATTATTGGTTTTTTGAAATTCAGTGAATTGGAGAGTTTGACGTTTCAGGTCCAGAGCCAGATTATCTTGGGTCATATTCAGCTCTCTTAATACCCATACATTGCCTTCCTCTGTACTTAACATAACAGCTTTGTGACCATTAGGTTAATAATTGAGAGGATACAAGCAGAAGATTAGTTTTTTTTTTAGAATGTATTAACTTAGCAGACCACTAACTTCCACTAACCCTGATGCTTCACATGCCATCTTATAGCATCTGAAACCTCTAGCAGGGTTCTTCTCTGTGTTATACCCCTTTCATTCCATGTTCCCACAAATGTACTGCATAAGTGTCTTGACTTATGACTTCCTTTGTTCTATTCCTACAAAAATTCCATAGACGTTCTTCCACAGTGGCCTTTGAGGTGACCTATATCTGTGTTCCTGGGCGATGGCTACCCATATTTTGATCTAGAATGAATTATTGGGGTTTAAGGATTATTATTTCCTCTTCAATGTGGAATCTGATCTGTAGGTATGGTCACAAAGTTAGTGGGATTCAGAGAAGCTCCTCAATGCTGGTATTTAGGATGATCCTGGAATGTTGTCCTCAGACAAGACAAGTTCAGTCTCTCAATTACCCAGGAATAGCTGTGCAAAGGACATGCACAAGAAGATGATACATTGAGAGGAAGAGTTTAACAGAGTGCCTTGTTTAGATAAAGGAATCCTGAAACAATACAGATTCTTGGGGTAAGGGAGCCTGCTGAAATGGCTACAGTCTGATCAAGCCACTTGCTGAAAGCATCCAGATGAGGGACAAAAATTCTATAGATGAGTCTATGAGAATAGATGTCAGGGTTTGGTGCCTCAGGCATCACACAGCCCAAGTCCACCCCAGTGTAGATGTCCTCCAAAAATATTCTGTTGTTCAGGAAGTAGTACTAATTTTGAAATTAATCAAAGATTAAAATTTGGTTTTAGGAACAGAAACAGGCTGGTTAGGTTGTGCATTAATTGTAGTGTTTACCTAAGATGTAAGGTTAGGTTGGGTTCCTAAGTTCAGTCCCCAGAAAAACAACAACAACAACAACCAGCCGACCAGTTTTTTAGCCAATGCCTGTAATCTAACACTAGGGAGGTAGAAACAAGAGGATCCGAAGTGTGAGTTCTTACTAGCTCAGGTTTCCTGAGACAGTGTCTGTAACAGTTAGTTTTAAATGCCCACTTCTCACAACCTAGAATTCCAGGAAGAGCATTTCAGCTAAGGAATTGTGTAGATAGGGATAACCTGTTAGTGGGTGTGTGGAGCATTGTCTTGGCTGTTAATTGAGATGGTAAGCACCACTCTGAGTGTGGGTGGCACCATTTCATTAGACACAGGGCTCCACACTGTGTAAGAATAGTAAAGAAAGCTAGGTGAGCACCACACAGCATATAGTAAGGCTGCATTTGTTTCTCTCTGCTTTTGACTGTGGGTGTGATGTTTGAGTTCCTAAATTGACTTCCCTTGTGTATCCTGGAATGGCAATTTAAACAACACATTTCTTTGCCTGAGTTTAAAATAAAACTATAACATTGCCTGAAAACACAAACAAACAAACAACAACAAAGACAAAACAAACAAGAATTAAATATGGTCTTGATAGTGCCTTAGGAAGAAGCAAACACCCAACTTGATGCAGCACAGTACAAATATAAATTCTATTGCCTCTTCCATCCTCTTCAGCCTGAAAAATTCTCTGGCCATCCTGTGTTCCAGCTCTCTGAGGAGTTGTTGTGTCTTTTGTTGTCCCTGCACTGTGATCCCATGGCTCCCTGTGTTATACAGGCTCTTTCACATCTGTGTTAACATCACAGTGTTCTGTTTAGGTCTGCCTTCCTACATTCACTATAGAATACTTCCATGGGATCCTGCACTTGGACTTAGCCAAAAGGCTGAGAAGCGATTCCCATGGGATTCTGATAGGGAAAAGTCATCTGGATAATACACTCAAATAAGAGAATTTGGAATTTGATTATTGAAGTGTCTGGCACTGAAGATCAGAGGACTAATGGTCATTGTTCCCAGGGCTTGTGGTAGAGGTAAAATTGTTTAAATTACAGTAGCAGACAATAGTTACCATAGAAAGGTCTTTTTTTTTTTTTTTTTTTTTTTTTTTTTTTTTTTTTTTGCATCAAGCATTGGAGTGACTTGCCTCCCGCCTTAAGGAACCTAACAAGGCCAAAGTAAACCAGGAGCAAAGAGAATGAAGGAAATACTACCATGAGAGTAGCAACAGAAGCCTAAGTAAACTTCAAGTCAAAAGAATAGAATCTCAACTTGGGCCGTAGGAGGCCAAATTATGCATAAGTCACGATAAAGGGGTGGAATAATTAATTGTTCCTTTAATGAGATGCTGCCCTTTTTCTTCCCAGCATTCCTTCCCCCAGTACAGTTCTTCCCAGCTGAGCTGCAGTGAAGTTCACCTTTCTGAGGCTTCACCTTAAGAAGGGACAACTTTTTCTCCCACTTTTCCCCTATCTTTCTCTGGTCCCATGTATGGGCTGCAGTAGTATTTCCTACCGCTCCCTCCCCACCTGTCGTTCACCATGTGTCTAGACTCTGTGCTAGCTAGAACAGCATGGGAATTTTTGTTTGTTTGTTTCTGTTTTTGCTTCCCCTTTCTATTCTACATTATCAGCCTCTGGGAGTCTGATGAGATTTAGACCTTGCCTGCCTAAGGGATTTTTCACTTTCATACTCTAATTAAATCTTCATTGAGCTTCCTATCCTTTGACTCCATTCTTAAGTGAATGACACTAAGAATCCCAAGACAAGACTCCAATTTCATTTATATCATTTGATGACCCATAAGTTATTTCCACAAATTTTATAATAATATTGAAGGGAGAACAGTAGAAAATTAATGAAATAGAAACTGAAAAATAGATATGACCACGTAAAGAAGTTTTTTTGGAAAAAGAAAATATTAGAAATCTTCCAGAAAGACTGATGAAAGAGATATGATAAGTTTTCCACATCAATACCTAGAGAAGAACATCACTTTATAATTGCATATACACTTAGACTTAAAAAGGACAATATGATTATCTAATACATTCTATAGCAGAAGTATGAAAACTCAGAAAACATGGACAAAGAGTTCTAAACTTATTTGTTACTGGTCTAATTGTGAAAGGTGCTTCTTTTTGAAGAACCTAATTTTGTATCACATAGGGAAGTCTATAAAGTAATTTTGAAAATACAGTCCATTTAAAGTAATTGTTGGGAATTACAGTTAATTTCATTGAATTTGTTGATGGTATTGGATTTGAATGTAACTATTTATTTACTTGAGCATCCACTGTGGATTGTATTTAGAAGTTTTGAGCACACATCACAGATCCATCAGGGGTATAATTATGCAGCACCTTTATAGTTCATACTCTAAGGGAGCTGGCACTTTCTAAACTTTACTGTTTAATGGTGATATAAAAAATATTTGGTGACCCATTATTCATTCATCAGATAAAGCTCACAATGAAGGCTTCATGATAAGAAACCTATGTTTTTAAAAAGTCATAGGAGTTGATGGCCAATCTTGTTTTGTTTTTGATTTTTTTATGATGGGGAAATAATACATATTCATGTAAAGGGGTCTCTATCTAACTCTGCCTAAGTCCTAGGATATTAACAAGTCAAGGGAAAATACTTAACTAGAAATTTGACCTTATGTACTCTCGATGACCTTCCTCTCAGGGACCTTAGATTTCCCTTCATTACATTAGACCACATCACTCAGTCTCAGGGCAAGAACTCAACATCCCCATTGCTTTACCATCCCTAGATTCCATGTCTGTAAAACTGATGACTCATTGGGTGACTGATTGAGGCAGATAAGGCCGAAAGCACTGGGCCATGCCTTAGGCAAACAAAGAGCTCTGACATGCACAGTAATATCCTGACCCAGAAGGTCCTGAAACCAGACCCCCAAGATGACCACTGCTGACATACAACCCAGAGCCAACCAGGAAACACCATGGCAGCTGGAAGCAGAGCCTGACAAAAAGCACACACATAAATACCTCAGTCCTTTGTTTAATAAATGAGATTGCTTACAATCTACCAGAGCCTGTGCCATTGGTTCTGCATCTATTCATCCCCTACCCCGGGATCAGAGACAGTGGGACCCTAGCTGCAGAGTCAGCAACAACTGATGAAGGGCAAGAAATCATAGTCAAATTGAAAGCTGCATGTACTAAGTGTAAGCCAGGGTCTGGATACATAGATATCTGTCCTTTATAACAAAAAAAGGAGGAAATGAGGCCCCTGTTATGACCACTCAGTCAGCTGGGTCCAGATCTACACTAAAACAACAGGTCCTCAGGAAGCCTGTCATAATTACACTCAGGAGGTAGCATAGAACACTGAGTGAGGTCCAGATGTTCATGGAAAAGTGTAAAATGGAATGGAGACAGGGAAGATATTGAAAAGGAAGAAAATGAACATGAGGATATATCAAATGGTAGGTAAGAATTCAAGAGACACAATGCTAGGCTAAGATGATGCCTTCCTGTCTTCCTTATTTAATATCTTGGAATATCAACACATCAATGGAGAGATGTGTGAGACCTATGAGAAGCTGGCGATGAAAGCTAACTTTAACATTTTACTTAGTTTTAGATATTAAGATTATCATACAGTAAGCATAAATTCTGCCTTTGATATTCAAAAAAAGAGGGAAAATTAACAAACATTCAAGAAGCTGGGGTGGAGACACACCAGACATGGTGCCAATACCTTGCTCACTGCGATGTGCTCTGGGCATCACAGTGTGATGTTTCATGACTGGTGGTTGTCCATCATGTTCCACCAGGCAACTGAGTACCAGGTCCTCCTCATGAGCACATCTGTTCACCAGGAGCCAGCTGGTCCAGCTGGTGGTTCCATCCTTGATGACGGTGAGTGGAGAAGGATCTTCTGTCCGGGATATATTTCCATTCTCTAACCAAATCAGTCGTAGTCTCAAAGGGTAGAACTTACTCACCTGGCAGCTGACATTTATCTGCTTCCATAGCACTGATGGGTGCTGGCTGATCTCCACAGTGGGTGGAACTGAAAAGGCATGAGCAGAAGCTGAGACAGACAGAACCTAGACAGACAGACGCCAGAAGTGAGGCTGAGTACCGAGGAACCATCTCCATTTTAAGTTCATACTGGGGACAGGATGAGCATTTGTGTCAGAGTAGAACCCCTAAACACAGCTCCTGACACAAAGATGCACACAGTGAGTGTCATAATCTGTGAAATTAATAAGCACAATGCTCAGGTGCACTTGGAAAGCTATAACAACAGTAAAATGAATGAAAATACCAGGAATGAGTGAAATGGCTCATACATTGCATAGGTATAATTACTTTTGTTAAAATAAATACATTGTTTTAATGTGCTGATGACAGTCTATGATTCCCACTGCCATATGGTGTGCATGAATGCTTGCTGGGAACTATGGACCAAACCATTCTGAACAGCTATGAGCTTGAGCTGGGATTCAGTGTCATTTACCTCGGATGGTGTCAGACAAGTTGGCAGTCCCACGGAGAGGGCCTCCTTGCAAGGTGACATGGGACACCTCACAGATGATCTGAGAGTGGACATCTTGAGGGCTCAGCACTATCTGGGCTGTGCTGGAGAGACTGTAGGAGACGCTTTCTCCTTTGGGGTCTACAGCACTTCCGAAGCGAGGGAGCTCATTTCCATCTTTGAACCACTTAAGTGTGATGTTTCGAGGAAAGAAGCCATGGGACTTACATGTGAAGTTCACTGTCTTCCCAGGAATAACTCTTCCTGCAGGGCCCGACATCACAGGAAGAGACGGTTTAGCTACAAAGAAGCATGTAGATAAGGATGTAATGGTGATGCCACCACTGTTGACATAACATTGTGAGGACCCTTCATAGATATTAATCTCATTGTCATTGTTTCCTATGGTGCTTTGGATCAATTCCAGAGCTTCAGCCATACTGAGGACCTGCTCTACTTCAAGGTGACAGACACATAATTTTACTGTTTATCCTCCTTATTTTGTTTTTTGTTTTTTGGAGATTTGTTTTGGCAGGGCTAGTCCTGGTCCTTCTGGGGTATTCTTTATTCTTTTATCTCCAGAGTTTGGCAAAGATCCCCACCAGTAAATGAGGAAAGGCAAGGCTAGGTAGAATTCTGAGCCTGAGCAAAGGAAGGCATTCACCAGTGTATTTTATATTTTCTATGATCTGCTCCTGTTGGCTTCCTCTGGAAACCTAACAAATCTAGGGGAAATATTTGTAGATTTACATCTATAGTAACCCAGGAAATAAATGACGTCACAGAGGTACCACAAAGCTGGAGCCCTTCCTGCTTCCCCAGTTGCTTGCTTTCTTTTGGACCTACATGCTAGTAGGTCTCATCTGTGCCAAGCCTGAATTTAACATTGAGCGCTCAATAGTCTGCATCTCTAAATGGGTTTCAGGTGGACTTAGCTTGAGGTTGAAAACAGTGCTTTCCCTCTGCAGAAGAAGCTAAAGGTGGTTAGTTCATTTCCTAACTGTTAATCATAAGAGACACAGGAGTGAGCCTGTTGAGCAGACAGTAACACTGTCTGGTTGAAAGCACACATATGGGTGGAGTAGTGGGAGGAAGGTAGTGTGTTGTGTAGATGCCTTGTGCTGAAGTTATCATGTGTAACAGGCTGCATTTGAAAATATCATTACACATTTGTATTTCTACATATATGATCCCTTCTCTAATGTCCATCACATCAGGATTGTAAACAAGTGTTATTTGAAGTCAAGCTATCTAAACCCTAGCACACCTGATGTCTCTATAGGTTTGAGGTAAGTGGTAGACTGAATGTAATTTGTCCCCTGAAGCTCATAGGGAGGGGTATTATTAGGAGATGTGGCTCTGTTGGAGTGGGTATGGCCTTGTTGGAGGAAGTGCGTAATTGTGGGGATGGGCTCCTTAGTTCAAATACATTCAAGATACGTTCAGTATGACACACATTTCACTTCCTGTTGCCTGTGGGTCAGTATGTGGGACTCTCAGCTTATTCTCCAGCACCATGTCTGCCTGAGTGCTGCCATGTCTGCTCCATGGTGATACTGAGTCAAACCTCTGAAACTGTAAGCCACCTCAATGAAATGTCTTCCTTTGTAAGAGTTTCTGTGCCCATGGTGGTGTTTCTTCATGGCTATTGTGACCATAATTTAGAAAGAAATTGGTACCAGGGATGGGGGTATTGCTGTGATAGGCCTGACCATATGAAGACACTTAGTCTCAGTCCTCTCTCCTGCAGACCACTGCACTACTGAAGCCCTGTAATGACTTGGACATCGCCATCTAGGACTCATTCATAACACTGACCATGGAACATGGCTGTCATCGTCACAGAAAGGGAAACTGAGGACTACACAGAGAGCAAGGTTTTCTCTCCCATGGCTTCTTGCTGCCAGTCTCTTAGCAACTCTGTGGATAGTCATAGCACCCTCACAAAGAGGGGACAGGTATATACGTTGTACAGTATGGGAGACTGTGCTTCAACTTTAGAGTAAGTTACCCAAGGTTTTACAACCATAATGACACCTGGTTTGGGGGAGCTGCTGTGTCACATGATATACACAGGGTCATCCTTTATCACTAAAGGGTCTGTGGTCATCACCAGGCCACAGATGAGGACACCAAAGCTGAAACAGAGACTCTGTCCCCACTTCCCTCTGTGTCTCAGAGGCCATTTCCTGTGCCCTCACTTTCATTTACCACAACAAAGCAACTGTCCCCACTTCTGTAACCCTGCCACTGACTCTGACTCTTCTCTAAGAACCCGACTTGAGGAATTCTAGGCCAAATTGCTGTTCCAGGTGGCTCCAGAAAAGAGGTTCTTGTTCTAGGGGCCCAAGGCTCTGGCAGAACGTTCCTTTTTTCTTCTTCCATGGACAGATCATATTTTCAAGACTGGGCATAGAAGTCAGCTCCATTCTGTGGCTGCTGCTCAGGGAATAAGCTATGTGGAATGTATACCATGTATGCAGTGTTAGTCTATGAGGCAGGAAGCTTTGGTCAATTCTTGATTATTCCTCATGTGCTCACAAGTCAGGTGTGTTCTATGAACCTCAGGCTCACCTCTAAAGGGAAGAAGTGACCTCTCTCCAATAGCACATGGTTAGGGAGAAAATGATATAATGGAGATGTGGCACATAGCACATTGTACTTTGTTCCCTCCTTACATGTACTTTCTCATCAAGGGCATCCTTAGGCCAAATGACACAGCAGATGAAACATCACTGCAAGGCTATAGATTGCAGCCTATGTGAGCCATTTGCTGTTTGGGGTTGCCTAAGCATTGCATTATTTCAGTGTCCTTATTTGTGACATCTATTGAGTTAGGATGAAGCCATTCTCCCTGTCACTCTCCATCAAGGGGTTATCAGAAGACTTGCTACAGCTGCACACCGCTAAGCAAAGGGTGACATCTTTGTAAACTAGTTCACCCTGAGACTCAGCAGGCGCTGACCAGAGGGTGTGTGCCTTACAGTCAGGACTGTGGTTTTATGAGATCATCCACTGTGGCACCACTTGAGTAGTGACAAATTGAAACAAATGAAATATTCCTGATCTGGGATCTGAATTAGCGTGTCTGTAGCTGCTAAAATATGATGCTTTGTTTACGCAGGGGACATGGAGTTGGGGTTTGGCTGACATTGGGGTAGCTTCCCATCACTACTATTAGCATCTGACAGTGAGGAACATTTTGACACCTTGGGGAGCTGATGATGAATGGAAATTCTGGCTGAGTTTGAGCAATTCTGACCAGCATTTCTTATGCATCAGGCTTCTCAATGGAGATAGAGTCAGATGTGGGTTCCAGGCCAGATCTCAGTAATGACTGACTACGTGATCATAGTCAGGGCACTGGAACACAGGACTCATGTCTCAAAGAAGACTGGACTGGATAGTTCAACTGTCTTTCATGCTGAAAAATTCTCAGAATCTAGACCTAGAAAGAAGACTTCAGGCCTCTGTCAGGAAATTCAAAGTGAGTGTCTTGTTTCCTCAGCTGGGGATTGGAGGTCTTCCAGTTGGAGACTCCCATACACATAATAAGTCTACATTGCTCAAAACCTTCAGTATCTGAGAGAGTTGGTAGCTGACACAAAACTTTTTCAGACAGATCTAAGGCAAAGGCCTAACTTGGTCCCAGCATCTAAACTAGGTGAGAGATTTCACAGGGAAGGTGAGCACATTGTGAATGTTAGCAATGTGCTGTGCATGAAGAGGAAATGCAAAAAACAAGCCACCATGCCCTGGCCATGTTACTTTCTGCTGTGGTTTGTTTTTCCTCTTGGGAGGAGGAGACAGACATCTTTGGTAAAGAGCCCCTGCTGGCCTGCTTACTGCCATCTCTGTTGACAGCTAGAGTGGAAGCTGGCATACACTCAGCCCCAGGTTGATTGGGGAGAAAGAGAAGACTTAATCAGTAGGGGAAGTACACTCTGGAGGCAGTTGGCCAAGTCTGACTCTGTCACTGAACAAGGAAGTCAGCTCTCAGGGTTTTATGGAGGCACTAGCCTGAGATAGATTGAGAAAGGTAAGCATTGCTATGCAGGCAGACCAGGGTATGGGTTTACCCCCATTTACCAGTAGGGAGACCTCTAGCAAATAGCATGTCCTCTCCCCTCCTCTGCTTTCTTGGTCCACAGTTGGGGTAAAGTCACCCTATGTACATGGGCGGTCACTTGCAGACTTGTTCTTTCTTGTTGCTCACAGAATCTTGGGCACATTTTGACCTGCTGGAGATATCAGGGATGAGGAGGACAACACAGTACTTACCAAGCACATTCAGCACTGTGCCTCCCCCAGACGGAATCTCCCTGTCAGATTCTGTTCTCACGACTTTCACACAGTAGTAGGTTCCAGCATCAGCAGGTATGACACTACTGATGCGGATGGAAAAGTCCAGGTTGTTTCTCTTTGTAGTATCTGCAACATCTGTGACTCTGGGGAACTTCTCTCCTGTGGAACTATATATTAGGTGCCGACTCTGCCCTGTATCCCTGAACCACTGAATGGGCCCCACAGGGAGCAGGGAGGTCACAGTGCAGTTCAGAGTGGCTGAGTCTCCAGCAGCGACAGAAACTGATTTCTCAGGCTGAATCACCTTCAGCTCCCGTGTATCTGCTCCTGCAGGAAACATCAGTCAGTGCTCATCATGATGGGAACCCACAGGCTTTTCAAGGTTGTGATCAAACACTGTTTCTTACTGGAGCTCAGCATGATGTGATCATGGTCTCCTTACTTGGACCTCTTAACAAAAGAATGAAACGACAAGGAAACTGAGCCACAGAGACATTGAGAACTTGGCAGTATTTTGATTGAAGCCCTAATTCTTTTTGGAATTCTCATGTTTTATCCAGTATCTGTTTGGTTTTCATTTTCTGTGCACATGGCATATGGCACTTCTTAAATGATTGTATTGGATGTGATGACCTGACTCTTTTAGAACAGTGAGATGTGAACTTAGTGCTTTGTATAGTTAATAAGATGTACATTTTATTTCAAGTTTCTCTGGGTCAGGCCCCCAGTTCTCGATATGGTTTCTTTATCAGGTAGAGTGATAATGCCATAGATAGGTCCCTAAGTGCAATAACATGCACCTTAATTATAGAAATAAAACCTTGGCTTAAATTACCAGTTTTAAAAATATAATAATTACATTAATTAATTAATTATATGTGTGTGAGTATTTTGCTTCTGTGCATGCCTGGTGCCCAAGGAACCTAGAAGAGAGTGTCTGATCCCCTGGAACTGAAGTTACTGAAGACGGCTGTGAGTCACCATGTGGTTATTGGATTGAACCTATGTCCTATGGAAGAGTAGGAAGTGCTCTTAATCCCTGAACCGTCTCTCCAGCCCCAACATTATGCTGACTTTAAGGATGATGTAACAGATTGCTGTAAAGTTAGGGGTTGGACACAACACAAATGTTGTCTTTCATGCTTCGGTGGTCAGAAGTTTCATTTTAACTTGGAGTGACAAGGCAGTTACCTTGGTGTCACAGGACCCCACTCTCCATGAGGATCAGCTTTGTTTGTTGCACATGGTGTGGTCCCCCGAGGGCACTGTCCCTTGTCACCTGTCTGCCATCACAGCACCCTGTTTGCTCAGTGACTCTAAGACCCACGACTCCGACACTTCTGACCCATTTTTGCTGGACTTTGGTAATCTGGGAGGACTGCACTGTGCTGCACTGTACTACACTACTGGACCAAGACTGTGCAACATGCATTTGAGATATGCAATGAACAAATGGAAATTCACTAAAGGAAGTCAAGACTCTGAATAGGAAAATATGAAGATAGATGGAGAGAGACTGTAAGAAGGAATCTAATAGAATTGGGGAGTAGAGAACTACATAACTTATTAGTTCAATAGACAGGGTCCACAGAGGATTTAGGGGGTTACAAAATAAAAATCTAAGTAATGGAAATGGACAGAGTAACATTACTCAGCAATGCAGGGGCAAGGAGAGAATAAAGATAAGAAATTGAAGAATAGGAGTATAGAGACAAGATTATTGGAAAAAAATGTCTCACACCTTCTTGTTTTGATAAAATATAAGAACTATAATTTCCACACACTAAACTAAATCAACATGAGATGAGCTCAGAGAGGCCCACACCAGCACACACTAGAGTCCCACAGACAAAGAGGAGGAACAGAGAACGCTGAGAGCAGCCTGGAGCATGACTCATCTCTTTCAACATCAAAGTGATATGAACACAGTCCTTATCAGAAACGGAAGCTTCCGGGGGCAGTGAGATAGTATGTGAGTTCACAGTTCTTAAAGAAAAAAACACACCTAGAATTATATAAAACCAAGGATTCCTCACATGACAACACTTTGGGAACACTATAGGAGAGAAGACATGCTATTATTTTTTTCTTTTAATATTTTTATTTTATAATTAACTTAATTTCACATATCAGTCATGGATTCCCCCATCTTCTCTCCTGTCACCCACCAGCAATCTTCCCCAATCCAGCCCCCCCCAAACCCACCTCCTCCAAGGCAAGGTCTCTCCTGAGGAGTCAGCCCAGCCTGGAAGACTCTGCTGAGGCAGGTCCAGTCCCCTCCTCCCTATACTAAGGCTGAGCAAAGTGTCCCAGCATAGGCCCCAGGCTCCAAAAAAGCCAGCCCAGGCACCAAGGACAGGTCCTGGCTCTACTGCCTGTGGGCCTCCCAAACAGTTCAAGCTTATCAACTGTCTCACTTATCTAGAGGGCCTGGTCCAGTTTCTTGGGGGTGTCAGCCATTGGTTTACAGTTCATGTGTTTCCACTAGTTTGGCTATTTGTCCTTGTGCTTTTTCCAATCATGGTCTCAATATCTTTCACTCTTACAATCCCTCCTCTCTCTCATCAACTGGACTCCTGGAGCTCCACCTGGGTCCCTGCTGTGGATTTCTACATTTGCTTCCATCAGACACTGGATGAGAGTTCTATCATGACAACAAGGGTGTTTGGCCATCTAATCACCAGAGTAGGTCAGCTCAGGCACTCTCTTGACCATTGCCAGTAGTCTACAGTGGAGATATATTTGTATATTTCTGGGGACCTTTCTAGCACTCTGCTTCTTCCTATTCCCCAAGGGTCTTCATTCATCATGGTATCTCAATCCCCATTCTCCCACTCTACTCCTAATCCAGCTGGGACGTCCCCCTCCACTAAGGTCTCTTTCCCCTGACCCTTGCCCTCCATTACCCCCTGCCACTCCCCCCGCCACACACAGTTTGCTCAAGGAGATCTTATCCATTTCTCTGTCATTGGGCGATCCATGTGTCTTTCTTAGGGTCCTCTTTACTAAGTAGCCTCCCTGGAGTTGTGAGTTGCAGTCTGGTTATCCTTTGCTTTACATCTGGTACCCACTTATGAGTGAGTACATACCATGTTTGTCTTTCTGAGTCTGGGTTACCTCACTCAGGATAATTTTTTCTAGTTCCATCCATTTGCCTGCAAACTTCATGATGTCACTGTTTTTCTCTGCTGAGTAGTACTCCATTGAAGACGTGCTATTCTTAATCGAAAGCTTGAGTTCATTGTAATGATACCTACCATGCCAGAAATACTAATGGCTTCCCTTGTGTTGAAATAAAGAATGACAAAGATAAGGCTCAGGTACAAAAGACAACACAAAGTGTGGTGGGATGGTCTGTATGTGCTCTGATTGGTCAATAAATAAAGCACTGATTGGCCAGTAGCCAGGCAGGAAGTATAGGCAGGACTAACAGAGAGGAGAATTGAGAGAACAGGAAGGAGAGGGAAGACACTGCCAGCCATCGCCATGACAAGCAGCATGTGAAGATGCCGGTAAGCCACGAGCCACGTGGCAAGGTATATATTTATAGAAATGGATTAATTTAAGATATAAGAACAGTTAGCAAGAAGACTGCCATGGCCATACAGTTTGTAAGCAATACAAGTCTCTGTGTTTACTTAGTTGGGTCTGAGAGGCTGTGGGACTGGCAGGTGACAGAGATTTGTCCTGACTCTAGCTACAACAAAGTTTGGCAGTATAGTGAATTTTGAAATTTCATAAAGCATCCTGAGGTCCCAGCTTCCACTTAGCTGTTGGAAAATGGTGGCTCTAATCTTCCACTTCAGTGGTTCTCATTAATAGACTTAGGGAAGGGCACACATCAGGAGCTGCCAGGAAGGACAGCTTCCATAGATAACTTAATCCAAAAGCAAAAAGGAGCCTTGAGAAGTTAAAACCTTGTGTAATAGCTGATACCATATCTAGAAAACATGTGGATAGTCTTAGAATAATTTCTGATTAAAAAATGAACAGGGAAAAATAATGGGAATGATTTACGTTTATGTAAGCTTACAAAGTAATTTATATTTTCACATTGATGTGTACACAAAATATGTAACTAATTTACTCAATGTTATATAATTTTTTCCAACTGGAAATTCTAAATATACATATCAAATTTACAGACTAAAATTTTTGTAACAAAAAAATTAAAAGACCTAATTAGCTTTTGTATTAATATATGTACAGAAGTTGAATAAATGGAGCAACTCTAACATTTTGTGAACTGGTTTAGTTCAGTTTTTAAAAAGCACAATGTTAATTTCTAATTTTATTAAGCACTGGATCCTATAACATTGAGACGAGTACAAAACTCTAAGTATAGAAACAGTACATATGGCTTGCTTTCCCAGTAGGCTTGCCTACTGGGACATATATGTGGTAGCTACTCCTTTGTAAAATTTCTTTTTAGTATAGTTGCTCTAGCATAATGAATAATAAACTAAAATGAAATATTTTAGTTTTATAATATTTTAACATTCATAAAGTAGTTTGGTAAATTTAATTCTATAAAGACAAAATGGTAAATGTGGGGATATTTGAAGGTCCTTGGTGCATGCCCAAGACCCACTTCATCTCTCAGAAAGAACTAAAGTAGTAGCCAGCTGCACTCTGAGGCAAAGTACTATGGGCAAGTGAAGGAAGTCATCAAGGGACAGGGTGGTGGCTAGCTCCTTGTGTTCCTGAGACCACAGAAAACTGAACTATAGCCTGACCACTGTGGAATCTGCTTTACAGAGTGGACTTGAGAATCTCAGCTAACTGTGTGCATAGATGTGGGTTATCATAGCTAATGGAAGCATCCATTCCTTTCAGGATTTAGCTGTTTTAGAGAGACCAGCTGGAATCTGCACAGCAGCTTTGCTTGGAAGAAACTTCATCCATCTTCTCTGTTCTATCCCCCAGAAAGGCTAGAGTAGCTATGTACTATCTAAGCAACATAAGAGTTTCTGGCATTATACTGGTTGAGTTATGGAAGGTCAGACAGTCCATGATATCCTCATCTGTGAGTCCTACAGAAATCCCAGCACACTAGCACAGCAGTTGCAACCTCAATATTCAGCTTATCCAGCAGAACAACAATAACAGCAACCCTTAAGGCTGTCAAGTGTCCCAAAGAGGCAAGATAAATGTGTTTCCACAAAGAGGAGAATAGAGCATGTTATACTAGAATAAAAGTGAAGGATGTTGGATCTCTTTTGTCAAAGGTTATGTGACCTTCAATCTGAATTTTATGTTAATGGGAAGACTGGGAATTGGTGGATATGCGGTACCTGCCACCACTCTGCCCCGGGACCTATCTTAGT